TGGCACATTAAGGAGTAAATTTTTTACTCCTTGCAAGTCTGACATTTTAATTTTGCCTTTATACTTGATTGCTTGGCTTAATAGAGAATATTAGTAAGAAAATAATTTTCCCTTAGAGTTTTTAAAGGCATTGTTGGTTTGTTTCTAGGTTCCCTGTGTTGCAGTTGAGAAACCGATGCCTTCCTAATTTCCTCCTTTATATATGTCCTTTTATTCTTTTTCCTAGAAGCCTTTAGGGTATTCTTTTTATTCTCGGTAACTGAAATTCCAAAATATGTCTGGGCATGGGTAGTTTTTCTTATATTTTCTTTTATTTTTAATGAATACTCAAGGGGTTTTTTGTCTAGAGGTTCACATCCTTGAGTTAAAAGAAATTTTTTTGTATTATAAATTTGATGGCATGCTCCTTCCCTCATAATTATATCCCCCAATTTGTTCTTTTTTTCTTTCTGAAACTCTTATTGGTTGAATGTTGGGTGTCCTGGGTGGAGTCTCTGATTTTCTTATTTCTTTACCTTTTGGTTGTAGCTTCTGGTATATTTCCTTGGTATTTTTTCTTCCATCCCTTCTGTTTAATATTGATCATCGTATTTCAAATTTTTAAGAGCTCTGTCTCATTTCCTGGCCATTCCTTTTTCACACATCCTGTTGCTATTGTTTTGCAGTATCTTCTCTTACCACTCTAGCAGTTCAGAGTGTGTTGGTTTTGAAGTTTTTCTATGCTGCCTGTATTGTTTCTATTTCTCCTGGATTCCTCTTTTTCTTTTTAAAATGATTCTTTCAGATTGGAGATTTTCTATAAAGATCTGTTTTATCTTTATCTCTTCATATAAAAGTGAACTTTTTCATGTAAAAAGCTTTGTAATTGTGTGGGGCTTGTCCACAGTGTGCTTCGCTATGAGATGGGGAGCAAGCCACCTTCTTTATTGGAGGAAGACACTCATATCTGTGCTGATAATTTTTTCTGGTACCATTGAGTTTTTCGGTCCTCCCTTTTCGGGGTGTGCACCGATATTCTGAGATCAGGTTGAAGAATTTCCACGACTTAGTTGTCCTTAGAACCCCTAGCCTCCTTGTGTTCAGTCCTGTCCTTACGTGGTGTCTGCTGTGTCCCTGTGCCCAGAACTACTCCCATCGTCGTTCTTCCTGGCTGACACTTCGGCCATAGCTTCCTCTGCACTGCTAAGATTGTTATTGCTCCCCTGACTTCTTTCTCACTTCCAAAAACCTGTTGAAATCTTTTGTCTGCTTTGGTTACCTCACATGTTCTCTTTCTGGGTTTGTATCGTTTTTTTTTCCTTTATTTCATTTAAGTGGGTCTTAGGTGAGAGAGGAGCTAAGTGAGAATTTGTCTGCCATGTTTAGTTTGGTGTCCATTTTTAAATGTATGTCATTTGTAATCCAGTTTTTAGGGCATTTTGCCTTATCAGAAATGCATCTTATTAGTTACTCAAGAGTTAAATCACTGAAGTGAAATTTTACATTAATCTATTTGAATGAAAATTCATATTCAGATTTACCTTCTCTGATGAACAGAACAAAACATTGTTGCTATAATCAGAGTAAGCAGAGAAAATAGGCAAGCCCAAGGGGTTGGATCTTACTTGGAAAGCCAGATCACATGCCAGGCTTTGGATAGGTATATGCCTATGAAAGAAACACAGTTGTAAGGTCATTGGGACTACTGCAGTTAATGCGTTGTAATACAACGCATTATTGAACTAGTTCGTCATTCATTAATGAAGGGAAGTTAGTGACAGGTTTATAGGATTCTTTGTGATAATTTAACCTTTTCTCTTATGTTTTAGTTTTTAAAAAGTATATTTTTAAATGGAAGTAAAGAACACAGATTTACTTACTCTCAAATTTTAACACTCAAAATTTAAAAAGACTTTTGATTTTGATATAGTTTTACACTTGGAGAAACACTGCTAAGAATAGTACAAAGAACTTCTGTATACTTAGATTTGCCAGTCACTCATGTTTTGCCTCATTTATTTTATCATTTATATATGTACCCTCTGTTTATATATTTCCCCCGATTAATTTACAGATGTAACACTCCTTTATCCATAAATAGTTTTGTTTTTTCCCTGAGAACAGGTCTTTCTTTTCAGTAAGCACAGAATATTGGTCAAATCAGGACATTCGATAGTGATAGAATGCTGTTACCTAATGCACATTCCCTGTTCAGATTTCCTCAGTTGTCCCAACAATGTCCTTCATAGCTATTACTCCTTTCTGTTTTCCTACCCAACCACCCTGGATGTAATCCAGGATCATGTGTTATATTTAGTTGTCATAACTCTTTAGTTTTCTTTAATCTCCAATAGTTCCTCAGCCTTTCTTTTTAATGTCTTGGCTTTTTTTTTTTCTTTTTTTTTTTTTTTTTTTTT